ACTGGAGTGGGCCATATCTACAGGGAGATTCAGCAGATGTGGACTAAGTGATTGCAGTGTTTTAGGGTAAACATTATAAAAATAAACAAATGAGCCAATTAATGGAATGTGATAGAAGGGATGCCTGAATAATTACTATAAATGCTGTGCCCTTTTTTTGTCAGAGACCCAGAAAGGACTTTATCCTCTAGATCTATTAATCTGGCTTCTATTACTGGTCATAGTTAGTGGCACTTTATGTTCTAAATCATGAATGTGTGATTTGTCCTTGATATGCTCTAGCAATTTTGTTTTCCCTCAAAGTTTGTTATCTCATTGTAGGAATGTAAAATGTATGGATTGGTGATATCACACAGGTGGGTGACTGCAACCTTTAGAATCTGACCTGCAGATAGGAATTTTGCCATTTGGGAACTTCACTTGAGTTCTTAGACTGCCAACAGATCAGCCTTAGCTGTGGTCTCTATAAATAAAGTTCAGGAGTGACACTTAATTCTGGACTCTTGGAAGATCTTTGACTATGAGATCGATCCTGTTTTCTGGTGCCGTTTTAGGGCATATCTACTGTCGAGAAACATCTGTAGGGTAAGTCATGCTTTCTGGCGCCTATTTGAATTTTATTTACCTGATTCACAGAGTATCACATTAAACTGTTGTAGAATAATGAATGTTAAGTCTTTGGCATTTTTAGAGTTCTTTTAGATTTGGAGAGGGAGTAATGGAGATAATGAGTGATTAAAAAGAAAGAGATAAATGAAATTAAGGAAAAAAAAGTGAAAACAGAACACAGGTACCCTATTTCTCTTTGTTCTTAATAATTTTCCCCTCTGATGAATGTAAAGTAGTGATGACAGACATCAGTGAAAATAAAGCTGTTTGGTCATTTACCTCAGTGTCATCTCAGTAAGTGATGAGTTACTCTTGTCCTCCTTTCTACCTCTCTGAATTTTATCTTTCAAGTCAGCTCAAGTCCTCCTCATCTTCAGATTTAGTTTCTAGGCAGTGGGAGCTCATGAAGTGGGAAGACCAGGGCTTCAGACTTCAGTCCAAATCCAACTCTCATGGCTTTGTATACATTTTTGCTCCAAAGTACGTCACTTTCAAGATTCTATGAAGAGCTTTAGGCAGTATTTCTTGAAGAGTGTTTCAGAGAATTAGCGAAATAGCCAAATAAATTTGACCCCAAAACACAGGTGGTCAAGTAAATTTGGGAATCAGAGGCTTAAACAAATTATAGAATTTCTAGGAACTTTAATTAAATTAGTGCACATTGTAAATCTATAAGAGGGGAGTCTAGGTTGCTGCAGCTATCCATTTCTCTTTGATCATCAAACTCTTCCGCACCTTTATTGTTATTTTTTTATGTTGAACAACTCAAAGGGCTATTATTTCTTAGGACATGCATCAGGAAATACTGGCCCAGCATATTATTTTCCCAGTGCCTTTTCATTTTAAAGGACACCCAGCAGTCTACAGATTAGCTAGAAGGAATGAGACTCAAATGGAAGAATTTTCAGACCATCTGTAGCCAGGAGGCAGGAGAGCTTTGAAGAGCTCACATTCTATCACTTAAGTATTCCCCTGGAGTTAATTGGAAATTGGGTGGTATTTGGTTTTAGAGAGTCTAGGTTCTGGTGCCTTATCATGGCTCTTTGTACCTATCCCTTCCCCTCTGCACAAATGGGCAGGGCAGTAACTACAGAAAGAGTAGGGAAGTCAGCCTACTCAGAGAAAGGGAAAAAGGAAACACCTCTGTCACCAAGGAAGGGCTATAAGAATCTAGCTCTACTACTGAACTTTTTTTTAGAGGGTATATATTTGCTTGTTTTGCAACTTCTCTTTCCTGCCAGGATGTCCTTGATATCCTTGATTCCTCATTGTATGTGTGTGTAGAGAGAGAGAGAAAGAGACACACATACCATGTTTTATCCAGGTCTCAACTGTCCCTAGCAATACCCCAAGTTTGGGCTGCATGAATGGGGTTTGGAGATGGAATTCTGATACATTTCAGTTAACAACAAAAACACTTTAGGTCTACTCAAACGTAAATTTGATTCCTTTTTTGAGCACTTATAAGCACCAAATTAATCATTCTATCCTTTTGAAGCTAATTTCTGAAAAAACAGGAACAGACAAGATGTACAAACCAATGCTTTATGAGCAGCAGATGTTATTTGGTAAATAATCATTAGCTAAAGACAGGATAATTTTATTGGCAAACTTCCTGCTAGGTGTGGGTATAGCTCTTAATTATCATTTAAATACTGTTTCCTTAGGGGAAGTAAAAGCCACTCTATCAACTCTTCATTCTGAGGTTGTGGGTCAGTATACTATTTATTAGTTTCTTGATTGTCAAAGAGATTATTGACTACTGCATTAACCTCTTATATGTAGAGACTTATAGGAGCAGAAAGCAACAGGAAACAGTGTCCAGGTTTTGTTTTTAATGTCATGTCTGTGGTTAATATTTTTTGGAGACCAAGTTCTTGAGATCATAAATAGAATGAGGAAAAAATAAAAAATCTGGTGGAACTGGAGAATGAAGAACATTTTCAGGTCTCTGTCCTGAGGGGACTTCTGCTTCCCAGAGTGAATAGTTCACAATTAGACATGATGATAGAGATCTCTTATTTTGGATTTGTATCTTGTTTTCTCTGATGAGAATTGTGAAGTGCTAACCCATGGAGCTGGGACCCAGAACAGCTGGGCTCTTGTCCCAACTATATGACATTGAATCATCTACCTTCTCTGCATTTTCCCATTCAGTATGTAGTGGTGGTTTAGTTGCCAAGTCGTGTCTAACTCTTGTGACCCCATGGACTGTAGCCCACCAGGCTTCTCTGTCCCTAGGATTTTCCAGGCAAGAATACTGGACTGGGTTGTCATTTCCTTCTTTCAGGGATCTTCCTGACCTTGGGATTGAACCTGGGTCTCCTGCACTGCAGGCAGATTCTTTACCAACTGAGCTACAGACCCTGTGTTACAGATCTTGTTGGATATAATGAGGATAAATACACCATTCTTGTGTCTCACAGGTGTTTTATAAGAATAAAAAGAGAAATCAAATGTGAAAGTTATTTTGAAAAATTATTGCCACCTTCAATGCATTATTTCTTCCCTAAATAATTTATAGTGTTAATATTCTGTTATGAAATTAATTGGATCACTTGAATGTCAACTGTGAAAAAAAACTGCCATAGTTTAAAATAATCTCTACCTTCTGCCAATTTTAATATCTAACCATATGGGGGGAATATAATACATATGCTGATGCTTGGATATTTAAAAACCCTTCTTGCAACCTCACAGTGATTTCACCATGATTCTGGTCTTGAAGGCTTGAGTTAAGATAGATATGAATTAATTTCCTGAAATCTATCCATGCCGAACTGTCCCTTTCCCTGGAATGACCCAGTCTTTGCCTGGACCTTTTAGCCATTTCAGCTTGTTTTCTGGAAATCACCCACCATCTTAGGAAAGACAACTTATGTCCAAAGTCCCTTTGTCAGCATCCAGGCAGTCAGTTATTTTAGAGTCCCAGGGAACTGCTTATTCCATCACGACTGAAGATGTTCAAGTAATTATCCCACAGCCCACTCTTCCAGAGGCTTGCTGATCCATATGAACTGAAGGTCCATCCTTTTTAATCTCTGGGTATCCTTTTGGAAGGGATGTGTGGGTGCCACTGGGGCCTTCTGAGCTCTCAGCCACCCCTGAAAAGTGGTAGGAAGTTTCTGTCCCTCTCTTTTTCACATTTGATACAAGTGGTGACAAATCGACCTGCAGTGCCAGAGATCTACGTTCAATCCCTGGGTTGGGAAGAGATCTGGTTCCTGGAGGGGAACATGGCAACCCACTCCAGTATTCCTGTCTGGAGACTCCTCATGGACAGGGGAGCCTGGTGGGCTACAGTCCACGTGGTCGCAGAGTCAGACACGACTGAGCAACTAGGCACACAGTGCAAGTGGGATATGGTAATAAAAAGTGTAATGAAAAGAGCGAAAAAGAGCCTCTGACATGGAAAATGGAGTGCAATTGGAAGAGTGTGACTCAAAGTAGGTAAAAGTAAGATGTTATTCATTTAGTCTTATTTATTTGTGGCTGTGCTGGGTCTTTCTTGCTGCACATGGGATTTCTCTAGTTGCAGCAAGTGGGGTGCGGCAATTCTAGTTGCGATGTGCGGGCTTCTCATTGCAGTGGCTTCTCTAGTTGCAGAGGATTAGCTCTATGGCGAGTGGGTTTCAGTAATTGTGGCACACAGGGATCAAACCAGTGTCCCCTGCACTGGCAAGCAGATTCTTAGCCAGTGGACCATCAGGGAGGTCCTCATTTAGTTTTTGTTTTTTTTTTTTTAAATAATTTAATTAATTTATTTTTGGCTGTGCTGGGTCTTCGTTGGTACACACAGGCTTTCTCTAGCTGTGGTGAGTGGGGGAGGGGGGTTATTTTCTAGTTGTAGTACTCAGGCTTCTCATTGCTGTGGCTTCTCTCGTAGAGCAGGAGCTCTAGGGCATTCGGGCTTCAGTAGCTGTGGCAGGTGGGCTCAGCAATTGTGTCTCCTGGGCTCTAGAGCACAGGCTCAACAGTTGTGTCACACTGGGCTTAGCTGCTCCACAGGATATGAAATCTTCCCAGCTCAGGGATGGAACCTGTGTCTCTTGCGTTGGCAGGTGGATTCTTTACGAGCCACCAAGGAAGCCCCCTCATTTAGTTTTTAATTTGAGATTGTCTTAGACTCTGGGTTCCCGGAAAGGGAGAATAAGCCATAAGACAATCACAGGACTGACTGTCATCCTATATTCACAGCATCTGTCTGGCCACAAGACCCATTAATGTCCCATCCCATTTTAGGGTGCTGCCAGAATATGGGAAAGACGTGACCCCAATGCCTAGAGGACAGAAATAATGCTTTGGACTGGGTGTCACCATTTCCTTCACAATTGTAGATTCAAATGCATTGCTATAAACCACTCATACGTGTGACTGTGATCTTATCTTAGGTTCTATTTGACAAGCAAAATGAAGAAATGTTACTTAGAGAAAAGAATGGAATGGTAACTTCAACTTTGAAACATCATACATTGGAAAAGGTAGGTGCATGAACACCAGAGAAATGGGCCATGCTCTCCTCTGATAACAAGGCCTGTACTTCCACTTCGTGATTTACTGGAAATTACACTCATATTATTTTCTGACTTCTCCAAGCTTCCCTAAGATTTGACAGCCAGTATCAGTGTCAGTGACTTAATCAGGCCCTGAAGCCCACCTGCCCATCCCAGCAGCCACTGCCTTATTTAGAAGCATCCAGGAGCAGCTTAAGTTAGCACAAAACAGCCTCTCATGCTTATCCTCTCCCCTCAAGGCTCCGTTGCTGAACTCTGACCTTGCTACCCACAACCCATTGGAGAGCTGTGCTTCATGGCTGCCACTGATGATAAAACCCAGGGACACCCTGATACTCTTACAGCCACCGTGGAGTCTCCCAACCTGCCAAATGCTCCTAGACCTGATAGCAGCCAAGTCTTGTGCCATCTCTCCTGTTTTGTTGGTATGAAGAAAGCCCCCCATTCATCTGGATCACCTGGACAGTGCTGCACTTGCCTTTGTGACACGGAACTTTTCTTGGGGGGTGGGGGTGGCAGGGGATCTGCACTGATTTGCGATGTAGGTTGGGGGAGGGGATGAAGAGATGGGGGGTTGGGGCGTTAAGGGGAGTGTTGGGGGAGCAGGAAAGAGCCAGGGAGGAGATATGTGGTAAGAAATGATTCCCCAAATCTGCAATTCTAAAATACAAAGAATTCTGAAAACATCCCCCCCCCCCCCCCCCAATTTATTTGGTGCAAACCCTGACCTGACCTAAACTCATTTAGGGGCAAAAACCTGACCTGAACTGACTTGCCACTCATTTGTCTCACTGCCAGAGATATTAACGTGTTTGAGTATGAAGCACTGCACATGTGTAAAATACATCTTCCTACTTTTCTAAAATTGCACCCCCGCCCCCAAATTCTTAATTTGAAACCTAAGGGTTTTCAGAGTAGGAACTGTGGACCAGTACAGAGAGTGAAGGAGAAAAAGAACGGAGTGATGGAAACACGATGTGCTCTCTTCTCGGCCCGGCCTCACAAACTGGTGTCTGTGTCCTGCGGAGAGCAAATGTTGGCAACAGCTGCAGTGGCCGCTTCATGCTGATCCCTATTCAGACAGGCCCAGACATGTCTCAGTCCCTGCAATGGACACAGCTTGGGTGCCCCAGCTGCACAGACTTGCAATCAGCCCTGCAAACAGGAGCTGAAGTAGCTGGTGGCAGACGTGCCTCTGAGGCAGGCACCCCGCCGCCCTGGCTTGACCCAGCCTTGCTGCATTTTGTAGCGGTGGTTTGGTTTAGTCGCTAAATCGTGTGGGACTCTTGAGACCCCATGGACTGTAGCCTGCCAGGCTCCTCTGTCCATGGAATTCTCCAGGCAAGAATACATACCTCTAAATTTTTTTTTTTTTTTTTTTTTGGTGGTGTGTGTGGAGAGCGCGGGGTTGGGGGGCGGAATGTGTATGTGCCATTCCCATTATGTGCTCTTCTGCTAGTGAGGGCAAAAGGCTTTCTGGCTGGGAGCTGGGCTGAGGCAAACCATAGGCCGAGCAGTACCATCTTGCTTGAAACAAGAAACTGGAAATAGCCGGCTCTGCTGCGGCAAAATGGCTTCCCCTTTCCCACCCCCTGCGGATGCCCGGTGACTCATCCTCGCTCGGCTAAGATTCCAGCGCCCCCAGCCCCACAGCATCTTCCGTGCTGCCCTCTCCATCCCCGCAGGAAGGGACTGGAAACGGAGGAGAGAGAAAAGCCACTTAATAATTATTCATTCGCAAATATCTATTTCTGCATCTTAAAACATTTCAGATTTCCCAAGAAGTGGATAACCTCGGTTGCTAAGCACCCTAGTCTAGGGAGCAAACTGAACACTGGCTATTCTTTTAAAAAGCCGGCCCATGAACATGCTTCAAGGTACACAGGTGCAGCGCTGATTTTTTTTTCCCTCCCGATGCTTCTAGAATCCTGCTCCTTCCAGGCGAGCTGTCAGTCCAGCCTCGCCCGAAGAGCTGTTCTTCCCCCCGCCTCCCCCCACCCCCCCAACCGGTCTTTGCTGGTTTTGAGTATTCACCTCCTTACTACCCCCGCCCCCATCGCTTTTCTTTTCTCTGAACTGCGCAAGCTGACGCAGGTCTGCAGGAGTGAATTAATGCTCTCCTCTTGATAGATTTGCTCTCAGGGAAACAGGGGCGTATGCACCAATAGGAACAGAGGAAGGGGGAGGTGGCGTGGGCCCCAGGGTGAGGAGGGCTGGGAAGGTGGTGTGGGCCCCCGTGTGAGCGGGGGATGCACGAGGTAGTGCGGAGCCCCAGGGTTAGGGAGGATGGGGGGAGGAATTCTGTAATTAATCAAGGTAGCAGTTCTGTACCTTGGGGTGTTTTGTGTTTTTTTTTTTTTGGTTCCTTTTTTTCCCTTTCAACCAGGAGTTTAAGAAGAAAGAAAAGCTCCAAGTACTTGCCCGAGCCGCATTTAAAACCAAAAGAGTTCTTCCCGTAAAAAAAAAAAAAAAAAAAAGTTCTTCCCGTGATGCGGGATGACGGGCAACTAAACGCAAAGGCAACTGCCCAAAAACCGAGGCATTTTTAAGGTGCGAGCCGGAAAAGGTTATGGTTTTACTCCAACCTGTAAGCGCTGGCAAGTCTCAGTGCTGATAATTTCAAGCTTTTTCACCTTGCCTTTAAAAAGAGTGAAAATTATTTCCTAGAAAGTTCGTTAAGAAAAAAAAAAAAAGAATGTCACAACTCCCTGCTAAATTTGGAAACGTTATGGCTGAGAACCAAAGGACTCACTGGGACAGATGGATATCTCCAGAGCGGTTCTCACAAAGCAGGCCTCGGAGGAGTGCTTTGCCTACTCTGACACCGTGACACATTTGCTCATACTTACTACCTTCTTTTCTTTCTGTTTCCTTTTCTCGGTTTCTCCTACAACAGGATCAGGAAACCCCAGATTCTCTTCCTCGCTTGAACTTTCCTGGCCTTTCCTTCTCCCTGATGGTTCCTTGGTTCATGTTTGAAAATATTGTTTCCCGAAGTTTCCCGTTGTTTTTTGTTTGTTTGTTTTTGTTTTTTTACATTTGAGCCCTTTAGAGGAAAAAGCGCAAAACATTTTAAACTAAAACTCCCAAAGCACGTGAAAAGTTTTTTTTTTAGCAAGGATTTGCATTTCTCATTTACCTTATCTGTGATGTTTAGAAGGCTGCACGAAGACAGAAGTTGCTGGTGCAAAAATAATCTTTTCCTCCCCATTTACTGATCGAATTGGCGAAGCCACTGTTCCAAATAAAACTGAGCCACTTAAATCATAAAATTTATACTCTGGAAAGTACCTCCGGAGCTTACCATCCTGATTTTATGAAGGACTTGAAAGCATTTTTATTACAAAAATAATACAATCATTGCAAAAAATGTAGAATAGAGAAAAAATGAAAAACATCCCTATTTTACTAATTCTACAATTATGGAATTGTTAACCATTAACATTTTGTTGTATATCTATTTCTTCGTCTCTTCTCCAGACCCCCTTTTTCTCCTGTATTTGTATGTTGTAGGTATATATATGAGCTAGCCTTTTTAAAATGGCACTTACTATTTGATAATTATTTTTAAAAATTTAAAACATATGATGAACATATTTTCATGTCATCACGTTTCCCACAATGATTTTTTACAAACATCAAAGGATGCTCCTCTTGTTAGCCAGAATTTAAGTTTACATTAAAGGAAGGGGACCAAAAAAAGAAAAAAAAAACTCACGTTAAATGAAAAGTTAATCGACAGCACCACCATCTACACCTCCTCCTCCTCAACCACATCAACGACAGGAAGAGGAACAGACAAGGGTTCTGCAGCAGTGAAGCCATATTCCATTTCCATGCTTCTTCTGCAGTTCAGCACGGGAGGGAGGACATACGCCGGGATCCGAGTCTGGATCCAAGCCCGCCAGTGAGCTACACAAGCTACTGTGCTGTGGACTGCAAATAAGGTAATTTGCCCCCAATCCCCTGATTATTATGTCTTTCTGGGGTCAGGCCCCGTCTAACCTCAAAGCAATATCTGTGGTCCTAACAGCTAACACTGTCATCCCAACCTTTTCTCTTGTCACAAGGCAGGAAATCGACCTATTCAAACCTAATTTGGTCTTGCCTCACCCAGCACCCTAGCATGCACCGAGTCTTCCTCTGGCCTGCTGGCCACCGTGTGCTCTGTTAAAAGATCAAGCTAGAAGAGGTTGAGAGGGTGGCAAGTAAGGACCCCAGGAGTCAGATTTCAGCCTAAGAACAGACTAGAGAAAATTGCTTTGCTGCCTGGAGTTCGGAGGGCTATGGCACAATGTACTAGAAATGTATATGATCACAAAAGGAGCTCAGATAGAAAATGTAAATAGGAGCTAGAAGAGTTTACTTTGACCTGCAGATCCAAAGGGGAACTTGTTAAGGGTTTTTGAGTTGTTCTGAAAATTTTCCAAATCTGATTTAAAGCTAGGGTGTAGTGATCCCTCTCTTCCACATGTTCATTGACACTGGAGTCAGGACACCGTGCTGGGTGTGACCTACTCTGGTATTTCTTAAGTAATTCAAAAATGACATGCTATAAATCAGAATGTTAATTCATGAGCAAAAGAAATCAATCCACATCAGATCATTCAAGCATGTGCAACCACGTGCACACTGGCTGATACATTTTCCCCTTCAATTAAAATTCAGTTACCTTTAGGGTATTATGAAATGGATATTTAACAGTTGAATAATAATGCCTTAGGATGGCTGAGCACAGGAAATGAATAAATTTTAATCCAGGAGAAACTTCAACTCTACTGCAATTGATCACAAGTAGAAATGTAATTCCCCAAATGGAATTTAACCGGTTCTCTGGATCTTTAGAAAAGTCTGCATATTTTAGTAATCTGATGTTGGTTGTGAGTACTCTGGGAAAGCTATAGCCTGTGTGGTGATTAAGGAAACTAGGAAACTGAAAAAATTTCTTTGGTTCACAGATCCCTATAAGCTGCATACACCATTCCCCAGCATTGCAAAATGCCTCACCAAAATTAATTGGAAGAATTCTGCTTTTAAGAGAGAACGGATAAGTGATATCTGATTTTTATTTAATATAAGTAAATTATTCTGACTGGAAGTAGAAGTATTGACTTTGGCACATTAAATATGTTAACTGGAGATTGGGCTGTAGTCCTGGAAGACTCTCATTGACCTTTAGTGATAGTTCATGTTTGGAAAAAACACATTGCTTTAATAGTCTCTTTTCTGTTCCTTGGTGAAAGGGGAGTATGAGACTGACATATATGTTGTTGTCTCTGCTCAGACTGCCTCTGATTAGGGAAATGATCCATTCATCACTTTGATTGGATATGATGGATATCTTCCTGTTTCGGGTCACCAACCCCAATGGCTATCTGTTCTCTCAGAGTAAGCTTGACTTTTTCTCTTCAACAAGAATCTAAGGAGGTGTGTAGGAACTTCAAAACAAAATAAAAGTGATCTTTCTGTTTCTAATTTACCCTAAACAGA